CCACCTACATTGAGGAAGCCCGTATGGTGTAGCCCTGGCTGAACTCCAAACCAAGACGTCGTAAATCACGGCATACGAAGATGAATGAGGAGCCTCTGGCTTTGTTGTACAGGGAGGCTAGACACTTCACATGGTACTTGGCCTCTTGTGCTAAACCACTGTTGGCTAAACTAAGTGGAGGAGATCTTATGGGCACATTTCCTGACACGGGCATCAATCTCAAAGGTGGAAGCCTCCTGCAGAGTCTCCTTACCCGCCTGTCCGTCACAAAAGAAACACTTGTAAACTGAAGGTTGTGGTTGGTCTCTACTCTGACGTATGTACTTTCTTGGGACATCTGCACTGTGCTCACAGGAGGTTTTCCTCTTCTCGGCTCGAAACAGTTGGGTTTTGTTGTATTCGAGTCTACACGAATCATGCCACCTGGTTCTGTGGTGCTCGAATGTTGCTTGAATGCCCTCACCATCATCCAGTTTAGAGATATCTATAGTCTTTGGCAGACATCCGATCTTGCTGAAGGCGAGGAGATTGTCTGCAAGAGTCTGGTACCCAGAACCACCAGTGCTACGCTTTGATTCAGCTGGACAGCATAGCTTCTCAGAGGTGTCTTTCTGACATAACACACACTGGTCCCAATGTGTCAGATATGGAAGATGTGTACCAGATGAGCCTGGCTGTTGGGGGTCCAATACCATAAAACGTTTGGCCATTGTCAGTCAGTCAAAATACCTTTAGTGTACAGCCACCAGATGCAAACCACCACCGTGACCTGAAAGAAGAATTAGCAGAATCGCTCGCAATCCCATACGCCCGGCGCATCGCTCGCATTCAGCATGTTGAATATTTCTGCCCGGTTTTTCATCGCTTGCATACAGCGCATGCGCTTGCATGCGCTTGCACTAGCGTAGACTGGTACCCGCTCACACCTCTCGGCTTAGTTACTCGATGGGGTCGAGTAAACGAGGTGGGGGCGAGTACCAGTCTAGCACCAGCGCGCCCAACAATGAACAATCGCGTTCGAACGCGAATGGTAGCAGCCAATCATGTGTACAGCTGCACGCGCAACTCGTACGGCGTTCCAAAATCGTGAGCAAAAACATACGCTGCCGGGCAGCGTACAGAATCGCTAGTGTGTCCTATAGTGTGTATATATGTGTCTATAGTGTCATATATGTGTGTATACTAGGCTTACGATATGCACAATGTCTGAACTCTAGTACATATGTAGCAAGACAGATATGTCAGATATGATAAGCATAACAAAAAAGAAAAACGTCATTTGCGTCCCTGTTAGGCCACCATACATAATTGTGTTCAAGTCCACGTGAGGCCTATGCTTAACATGTCAATAACAAATGATACATATATCCACTAGAATGTGTTTTGCACCAACCATACTTGATATAGTTCAACTTATGGGCGAAAATGGTAAATTGAGGCCGCTATTTTGTAAAATGGCCGCCAAAGCTACCATGGGACAAATATGCGATGTCCCTATTTCCAAAAATATTCCTAAGGGTATGTCCTAACTGTGTGCCAAATGCCATGCTTTTATCATCAAACCCACAATTCTGTCGAAATATATCACATATCTGCTGTACTAATTATTTTACGATGAAAGTGACCCTGAACTGATACCGTGCTATATTGACGGGTTTAGTTTATTGATCTACGTATTTAGTTTAGTTTAGTTTTCATGTATTATTTTAATGTAAAGCGAATCCAAATGATAGGAGAGACAGATGTCACCAATTGTGTATTTAATTAAAAGGCGAGACAATGCTTGCAAAACCAGAGAGGCATATTCATAATAACTTGGCGCAATTTTATAACAATGTTAATTGTATATCCAGAAGCTTTGACTACACAGAATCATAGAATCGCTCGAACTATTTTGTCAGAATATTGCGTATTGTTTGTTTCTCTGTTACGAATCTATCCATAGAAATAAGTAAATTTTTTTTAAATAAAAAAGTAAACCGAGCCACCCGCTAACCTAGAGTGTCGGCTGAGAATTGGACTTGTGTATATACCATGCTGGTGAGAGGATTGTTACTGTCTTCTATCCATCTCGGAATCTCTACCCGTAGATTGACTCCGTGTGGCTGGATAGTGTTTAGATTGTGAATCCAGTACGCTTCTCTTTCCTTTCTGATGGATATCTTATGGGTGAAGGGGGGGGGGTGAAAATACTTTAGAATTAAGTAAGTATATGTGGCTGAATTTGCTCTTAAAAGTTGTTCCTAATCGTTTTTCCCTGAGCAACGCCGGTGTAGCGCGAAATTTCTGACTTGCATAATATCAAACTCCACGACAGATGGCGCTCTCGCTCATAAGTTCAATCTCAAACTGCATGCAGTGCCCCTTCCCACACTCAGGATAATACTCAGCATAATAATTTCCCACACTCAGTAGAATTGAGCCAGAGCGAGAGCGCCATCTGTCGTGGAGTTTGGCTCAGTCTACTGAGTGTGGGAAGGGGCACTGCATGCAGTTTGCTGCCACAGATGGATTTCGGTTACAATTTGTAACGCTTTTTTACTACAAGTTTTACAGCAGGTACGTTACTCATATCTTATGTAATAAGATTTGGACTATTAAAAGTTGCAAAGATATTAAAAATCCGACCATTATTTTATGAGAAATTTGATATAATAGTGATACGAAATAGTGCGCCCATTTACTACTTTCAAATCATTACGCTGTTTACTAAACTAAGTTCACGTGTTTATTTAATATTTATCATAAATTTTTCGGATGCTTGCCAATATACCTAATTCTCGAACATTGTCTTTGATGCATTTTTGCGTCCTTCGCTACCCTGTACCAGAACTTGGTATTTTACACAAACCTTCAAGTGTACACAACCTATCGTAACACAAAGACAAGCTGTCATTGGTCGGGTCGGCACGCATGCGCATACGCATCCTAACTCAGATATTTCGCACACGTCAGATATTTCGCGCGACACCGGGTACCAGGCTAGTATATATATATATATATAGTATATACGTGTGTGTGTGTGTGTGTGTTGTGTGTGTGTGATGTGCCTGTCGTGTGTTGTGTGTTGCTGTGTGTGTGTTTTGTCTGTGTGTGTGGTGTGTCGTTGTGTGTGTGTGTGTGTTCGTGGTGTATGTGAGTTCGGCGTGTGTGCGTGCGTGTGCACGTGTACGTGCGTGAGTAGTGTGTATGTCTGTGTGTGTGCGTGTGTGTCTGTGTGTGAGTGTGCGTGTGGGTACATGCAGGCGTGCGTACGTACTTGCGTGCGTGCTCGTGTGCGTGTAATACATACGTATGTGTGCGCGCGATTGTGTGTGTTTGTGTGGGGGGTGCAGTGGCGTAGTTAGGGGGGGGGCGTCAAAAGGGGCCATGGCCCCCCTTGTTAATTAGAAAGTAAAAAAAAATAAATAATTGTTCTACTAAAAAGAGAATTGTCGTAGTCAGAATGAAGGCTGTAAATGTAATCAAAAGTGCCTCAAATATTATCTCCTGCGATCTACATTTTCACAATTTTCTGGGGGAGGTCCCCCATACCCCCCGCCTGTTTTCACTCCCTCTCCTTAGATGGATTTGACACTGAACAGTTATTTATCTTGGAAGCAGAGAACAACGAAAAAAATTTCGCCTCTTTGCATGGCGCCCATTGCAGAGCTGAGAGATGGGAGAGGGTAGGGTGTGGAGAGGGTGGTGAAGGAAGGATTAAAATAATAATTAAGTCATCCACAATTTTGCGCAGTTCGCTGTTTTTGGCCCCCATGTTAAAAAATCCTGGCTACGCCACTGTGTGTGTGTGTAAATGTGCGTGTGTGTGCGTGCGTGCGTGCGTGTGTGTGCGTGCGTGTGTGTGCGTGCGTACGTGTGTGTGTGCATATGTGCCTGTGTGCGTGTGTGGTTCTGTGTGCGTATCTGTGTCTGTGTGTATGTGTAAAACATGTTTGCTTTATTATCAATTGTGATTGAATTAAGAAAGGTTGCCACGTGCGATTATCGCAAGCAGGATTTTGCAGTATATAGTATTTAAGTACATATAAAACTCTACGTGTTTTCATACTAGAATAGCAACGTTTCCTTTGTAACCAATCGTACTCCTGGTTTTTATGTTTTTAGGCCTATGTTTACTTATGTAATTTTTTTAAAGTTTTGAATTTACAACTTTATATTGGTCAACATTATAGTGATGTGTTTAAACTCAATAAACTTTTCAGGTGGATAGCTTTCGTGTATGTCGTATTATACACTCACTAACACTGCATTTTATAGCTTAGTTAACCAGATCTGGCATCAATCTTTCGAAATGAGGTTTAGAGAATTCGAACACGTCTGGAATATTAAGGCGTTCTCACCGGGTGAGGAAGAACCGAAAGACTGTCGGATGTTCAAAGATAGTGCTAAAGTCAGGTTTCAATGTCAGGTGTGTTCCCACTTTTCTTTTTTGCTTTCATGTTTGCATACAAGAGGTATAGATGCTTTGGATATAGTTCTTCCTTTTGTTGTGATTGCAAACCCGGAAGCCCACGCCTACTTGTTAATTATTAGTATTTATTACTTGTTTGTTATTATTACTTATCATCTATGCTTAGCAATGCGGCAACTCCTGGACATCAATGAAAGGCTCCGTCATGTTCTGGTATAGCCTAACCAACGCGTGCGAAGATGGCGGACACAAACCTTCCACGGGACGCATCATTTTCATGCTATACGGTCAGGTTTGCAAACGCTGTCCCCAGTCTGGATTTCAGCAGCCCATGTGGTACACTGAAGAAGTGGAAAAGGTAAATAATTTACCGTTCCGGGACTCCGCTTACCCTCTTCTGATTAATTTAGGAGATTTGTTCACGTGCTTTGTCTTGATATCGAAATCGGGCTCTATTCGAATTTATTACAATAAAGTTTCTAGTTTAAACTGATCTAAAAGAAGCGATATAATAGTTGCACTTTTCCCGGAAACATGATTATTTACATGTGATTTTTTCAAGTAGTAAAAAATACATGGAATTTCAATAAAAAAAGGTGTTTATAGGCCTACATAATATGAACTATAATATTATATCCGAAAAATTAAAAATGCATTTTATATTGTCTTTTCCCATTATTTTTTGAAGATTTCTTTATTTTGCAAAGGTTGTGAACAATATTTACATGAAGGTTGGGCACCGGTTTTACCAGTTCGACCAACCCAAGTACGTCAAAGTGCGCAGAGAGGGTAAGACTACGCATGCGCATGACGTCAGCCTGTGTCAGGCCTGCTTCAATGGCGCCTGTTCTTATAAGTCGAAAAAGACGACCACCGAGGATTTTCCTGCTGGAAGTTAAACACAGATGTGTAAACAACTCGGAGGTCTGGCCCTTCATAGAGACCTTGTATTGGGACCTGATTGAAATTGAAATTGTCAAACTGAACACTAGGAAATTGAACATAGCTAGGTGCATAGACTTACAATAAACTAGAGATATTAGTATAAAATTGATAATCATTTGTATATATTCGCCAGCGTGTTTTATTTGGTACATTTTTTATTGGCAAATAATACAAAAATATTTTTTACTAAATAACTCCACCAGATGGCGCTGGACGTCAATAATTTTCATAGAAATATATTCGCGAGACATAATATAGTCTACCTATATTATTTCTATGATAATTTCGTATAAAATATTTGTGTCATGAAAAACATGTTGTTTTCGTTTGAATTAAATCTATAACAAAATTTACATCATTATATAATATATAAATTATATAATTGTATTGTAATTAATATATTGTAGATAATATCTAATAACGTATCTGTAAAGTGTCTTTAGTGTAAGCATCTTTATTTTAATCGAAATATTCACTTTGGAGGAGTCGCGCATTTTTATTTTGACTTTGACGCATAACATTTCTTATAATAATTGTCACGATTTTATCAGCCAATCTATTCGCTGGAGTCAGTGGCGTAGTTAGGGGGGGGGGCAAGGGGGCCATGGCCCCCCTTGTTGATCCAAAAGTAAAAATAAAGAAAAATAGTCAGAACTTACAGCAATGACTACGCCTCCTCCATGCAGATTTCTATCCGTCCTAAGTAACTGGAAACCTGGTGGAAAAACTTGGTTGACTGTTATGGAATCATCAATCCCGATTTCAGTACCTATAATAATGGAAGGTTTACTGCTATCAATAAGGTTTCGCAGTTGCGCTTGCTTTGTTTTCACCAACTGAAAATGGACGTTTAGAATTCTCAGAGGTTTTCTGGACGAGGGGCGTCCCTGATTAGCCCGCAGTGGAGTTGATACATGCACTGGTTTTATGCGACTTGGTGTTGATTCAACAGACGTGGAACAACAGACAACATGGAATCTCTCCCTCACAGCACACTGTATTTATTAATTTTGACGTGGTGACGATCAGGTTAATGCATTGCCCACACGGATATATAGTAGATTCATCCCTCTCTGGACCAGGGTTTGGATTGATGTCAATTGACAGGGCAATAAGCACAACGGTGAACATGAAAAGTACTCTGCCCTTCTTGGTAACTACACATAGCTGCTTAGTCAGCGCAGGTCTCCCATGATTTCTCCAGTTATACATGTTGAACAAAGTACTTGAGTTGCTGAGATAACTGGTGGATAATCTACATGGTATAATACTGGTGTTTTCCACTCCAGGATAATGACTTGAGAACAGATGGCACACAAACGAGAGTAAACAAATCAATACAGTACAAACAAACCAAGAGCGAATTTACGATGTAGAAAATTGGCTATATTGACTCTTCATCCAGTTGAACAACGTCGTTTTGTAGCTCCATCACGACAGAACAACCTTACCAACTGATTTAGTGACAAATAAATTGGTATTGAACCCAATAGCTAACCAAAAGACAGTATTTGTTACAAACTTTTTGGAGAGGACAAGAAAACAAATATGTCCTCCCCACTTGCGCACTCCCTACCAGGAATTTCAGAAGGATTGATTGGGAAGGGAACGGGAAGGGGTCGTAACAATTGGAGTCAATTACGTATGTCGAAAGTGGCCCCCAAATCACAGCAATTGCTTCGGTGAGATGTCCATCATGTGAAAACAGAATGACTGTGTTAGTATTGTAAAAAGTAAACAGCCGAAAATCAAGGCTTGCCGATTAGGCAATTGCGGGATGTTTGAACGTTAAATAGTATGTTGCAAATTGGCTTCAGCTCTTAAGGTATGTCGGACCCGACATTCGTCAAAGGCCTGGGGAAGCCCTGATTTGTGTGCGCGTGTGCGTATACGCGCACGTCTGTTTGTGTGCTTCCTTGTTGCTGTTCACAAACAACATTCTACCTGATAAACATTTAAGTGAATTAATTATGATTCATTTTCAAAATAAAATAACAAAGCGTAGAATAAACAACGAGAGTGCATACTACTTCAAACTTTGAACAAGTGAAAAGTAAATGTAGGGCCGGAGGTTGAATTAGGATAAAAACATGTGTGCATGCGATTTAATCTAACACATGCGGCAACATAAATGATAGTAGAGGTAAGCTAATCTATCTATCTATCCATCCATTTATCACACACACACACACACACACACGCACGCACGCACGCACGCACGCACGCACATACACACACGCATATATATAAATATCAAATCTAAGTAAAGCCAAGTAACTGACGTATAGGTAGCTGTTATTATGAGCAAATCTAAATGCTTGCCTCCCTGTGTACAATCTATATAAATATAATAATTATTTGTCTATACATTAGCACAGGCAAGTTCCCAAAATACCAATTACGCTAATGGCTGGCGCTGACAATAGACGATGATGATTACGACGGCGACGGCGATGACTATGGCGATTAGTGTTATATATGTTGTGTTTTTGAGCATTATAACCAGTGGCGGCACCAAGGGGGGCATGGGGGGCATCCCCCCAGTTAAAGCCTTTGCCCCCCCCGTCAGCTCCTCTACATCGGTTTTAAGGACACAGTTCACAGGAGCAATAACAATATTAATTTTACTCCATAGGCCCAAAATGTTGCCTTTCAATCTTTGGGGTTTAACCCTAGTCTATGTAATTTGAATTCTTATGGAGTGGCAACCTCCCAACCCTTCCCATTTTGGCGGAAAATTTCCGCTTTCTTATTCCATTTCCGCCGCTACGATAGCCGATACTATCGCATATAATTACGTCAACGGAAATACGATAGATCAGTGGTTCACAACCTTTTGGACTCCCCGTACCCCTAAGTTTTTTAAGCTATCTCCTGGTACCCCTTCGCCTACCATAACAGGGGCGTGTACAGGATTTGTAATAGGGGGGGGGGGTCTAACCGTAACACAAACTTGTGAGCATCGCGAAGGTCCGATATTTTTTGAAATTAGACCTCCTTAGATGCGTTTTCTGCGCGAGCAGGGGGGGGGGGGGCCGGACCCCCTGGACCCCCCCTGTACACGCCCCTGCATAAGCAAAATGAAGAACCAACACTGATGTATTGTCATGAATATTTTGACATCATGTTTATGTTTTATTAATGCAGTCGCACAGCGATAGTTAAACCTAACCCTAACCCTAACTTTAACGACCTAGAAATGACCCTTTTTTAAGAATGGAAGGATCAATTTCGTGCAGGGGGTGGAAGCAACAAAAAATATTGGCGAAATGGAAAACTGGCGAAGTGGGAAAATGGCGAAATGGGAAAATGGCGAAGTGGAAAAATGGCGAAATGGGAAACTGGCGAAATGGCAAATGGCGAAGTTGGAATCTGGCGAAATGGAAAGACACCACTGCGCTCGTGCTGTGGGGACGTATGTCTACGTGGGCCTCGCTGCTGTTGCTGCGCTGGCACGCGGAGGTTACCACTCTGTCGCTTGCTTGCTTCGACCGAAAACCATGATTTGTTGGCACTGTCGATAGAGATGCCTGAATCACCCGCTGATTATTATATAGCACTATTTTTTTTAAATTGTCTAAGAGGCTTCCCAGGTACCCCCTCTGGTGTTCGCTGGTACCCCCAGAGGGTAATAGTGCCCCCGGTTGGGAACCAGAGCGATAGATAGATAGATTAGCTTACCTCTACTGCCATATATGTTGCCGCATGTGTTAGATTAAATCCCATGCACACGTTTTTTTATTTCATAATTAAACCTCCGGCCCTATATTTACTTTTTAATTGTTCAAAGTTTGAAGTAGTATGCACTGTCGTTGTTTATTCTACGCTTTGTTATTTTATTTTGAAAATGAATCATAATTAATTCACTTAAATGTTTATCAGGTAGAATGTTGTTTTTGAACAGCAACAAGGAAGCACACAAACAGACGTGCGCTTACACGCACACACGCACACAAATCAGGGCTTCCCCAGGCCTTTGACGAATGTCAGGTCCGACATACCTTCAGAGCTGAAGCCAATTGCAACATACTATTTAACGTTCCAACATCCCGTAATTGCCTAATCGGCAAGCCTTGATTTTTGGCTGTTTACTTTTCACAATACTAACAAAGTCATTCTGTTTTCCAATGATGGACATCGCACCGAAGCAATTGCTGTAATTTGGGGGCCACTTTCGACATACGTAATTGACTCCAATTGTTACGACCCCTTCCCGTGCCCTCCCCAATCAATCCTTCTGAAATTCCTGGTAGGGAGCGCGCAAGTGGGGCGGACATGTTTGTTTTCTTGTCCTCTCCAAAAATTTTGTAACAAATACTGTTATTTGGTTAGCTATTAGGTTCAATACCAATTTATTTGTCACTAAATCAGTTGGTAAGATTGTTCTGTCGTGATGGAGCTACAAAAAGATGTTGTTCAACTGGATGAAGAGTCAATATAGCCGATTTTCTACATCGTAAATTCGCTCTTGGTTTGAGTGGCGAAATGTTTATGCTAACTGTATTGATTTGTTTACTCTCGTTTGTGTGCCATCTGTTCCCAAGTCATTATCCTGGAGTGGAAAACACCAGTATTATACTATGTATATTATCCACCGGTTATCTCAGATACTCAAGTACTTTGTTCAACATGTATAACTGGAGAAATCATAAGAGACCTGAGATGACTAAGCAGTGTGTAGTTACTAAGAAGGGCAGAGTACTTTTCATGCTCACGGTTGTTCTTATTGCCCTGTCAAATGACATCAATCCAAACCCTGGTCTAGAGAAAGATGAATCTACTATATATCCGAGTGGGTCCTGTGATAAACCAGTTACATGTGTAGCGTTTCGTGCTTTCCGGCGACACCCGATGGCGCCACCGGTCAACACCTAAATGGCTAGCTCACAACCTTAGGTATATCACTCACCCGTTGTGCCTGGAGACGTTGTACTGGCCGTGATCGTCGCCTCCCGGACCCCGCTAGCCACCCGAGCACTTCGAAGCTACTGCGCTCCCGCAATAACCTATTCTGCCGTGTTCCGGTTCGGTGCGTCGTAGAGTTAGTCAACCATGCCAGACGAGGGGCGTCACACACCACAAC